CCTCCAGACAACAAAGCAGAGCATCGCATGCTGGCAACACATTCTGATTGATCGCGTTTTCCAGAGGGCAGAAGAGCATTGCAGACGGGTGGCAAGACCGGGCACATAGTGCGGCTTCAGCGGGAGACACCGACCACACGCAGCTCCTCCACAGCCCCAGTCAGCCGAGAGTACACCTGACAGGCCTCGGGGTTACCAACTTTGGCACTGCCCGTCTTTCCGGGATTAAATACTATTCCTTAACTCATTCAGGGCAGTTACAGCCCTTCCTTTCCATTAGGTGCAGGGCAGCAGAAAAAGAGACAACAACCGTGAAGATCCAGTGCACACCATGGTCACCATTAACACTCCATGTTCCGAGTACAGCGGTGCCTGAGCGCAAAGCAGGATGAAGATACCCAGCGCCCACTGCAAGGCCTGATTCAGCACAAAAATCCAGTGCCAGGATCAGTGACAGGCCCAGACCTCACCTCAACTCTTTTGCTCAGCATCAAGAACACACAAGCCCCAGAGACGGCATCAGACGCAGGAGCAGGGTGCAGGGGCTCAGACCTTGCTTCCTCCAGGAGCACACAGCAAGCCTACGGTGGTGGCAGTGTTTACGAGCTTGGTTACTTGCTCTGCTCGTGAAAAGGACTCTTAGACACAACTTTTAGCAACAAAACATAACTGAGGAGCATCTTCTCCCTGGGCACGCTTCAGCAGTGCAGAGAGCACCCAGAGCCTGTGCTACGCACCTGATGCAAAGGAGAAGCCCACTGTTCTCTGTGGCTGGCACCAGCAGTGCTCAAAGCAATCACCAGAGACAGGGGAACAAAGCTGATGGCCACCGTAGTAGCTCCTGCTTGCTGAAAGCTTCCCTGGCACTCACCTGCCCTGCAGCCGCAGAAACGCAGAGGGGGCGGCCGAGGCAGGTCGCCAGCCAAGGCTGCTCTCCTGGCCCAGCCAGCTCGGTCCTCAGGGCTTCCCCATGGCAGGAGGCAGGGGGATCGCTGCTGCTGCTGCCAGCTGTGCCCACGCAGTCACTGCCAACCTTCCTCGCGCGATGGGACAGCATCGCCTTCGGCTCTCTGCCGACGCGTCCGGGCAGTAAGCACAGCACGCTGTTAGGGCTAGATGGAGAGAGAAAGGAATGAGACTGAAGTCCCCAGGTTACCACATCCCACTTGAACACAAACAGCGACCCTGGGGTATAGGGCGACCCGGGCAGATCTCAGCACACCGCCCCTGCCTCACGCCCAGCAAACAGCAGGTCCTCAGCACAACCTCTCACACCCGCAGACACCAAAGCCAGCCTTGCCTGAGAATTTCATCCTGACACAAAACTATTTGCTCACTCAGAGACCAGCACATAGACGACTGTGTGAGAGCACCACCTGGTGACATACTCCATATTAGAGATTTTAAAGAAGGAACGGTTAATTTACAAATTCTGAGCAGAATGATGCATAACTTACAGTTCACGCTCACTGCTTTCGTGCATGGTGTGTGTCCGACTGCAGGAGGCTGATTATTCACAGACTGCTCCGTGCTTCCTAACGCAGTTGCTGCAGTTCTCTGAATTACACGCACCTTCCCTGTTGTGTGGAGCTGATTGAACCTTGGGCTGGAAGATCATCTGCCTTCATTTAGAAAGCAGAATCCATCAACTTACATTTGGACTACTTACATGGTAGCCCTGGAATACACTGGAAGGTAATTTTGCAAAGTGCAATTCTACTCAGTGTGAAGCGCTTAGCTCCTCATGCTTTGCTCCACTAACACAGAGCAAAGGGGGGGACAGGGTATAAAAAATTGGCAACTGAATTGCAGCACTTTGTGATGCAGTAACAGCTCAGGGTCATCGGAGCAAGCCAGGAGAAGTTTAGCTATGACAAAAAAGGGAAAAAAAAAAAAAAGCCAGCCTGCTGAGGGAATCCAGGGGATTGAGTGAAGTAAAACAGAGGTGCCAAAAACAATGGCTCACAGTCCAACCACAAAAGCAGCCAACACGAATGCCACAGAAAGAGATGGAGCAGATGGGCTGCAAGAAGCTGGCACAGATAGACTGGAAAGGCTGAGATTGCGTTGGACACAGCAAGGCCATGCTGCAAAGCCTGGCAGAGACATGAAACGTCCACCAGAGAACTCCTCACTGTTCCCCTGCCAGCAGAGCACCAAACTCCAGCTCTAGAGGCATCAGAAGGGTCAGCAGGGCATCTGGCCATCCATTTGTGTCAGGCACACGCAGGGCAAGCATCACCCTGCACAGGCAGTGTTTGGTCGAGCAGCAAAACCCATCTGAAGTGCAATGGTTTAGGTTCAAACCTTTCCGTTGGTTCCCTTGCTGCGGATTGCAAGAGGCAAGCAAGAGCATTCGAGTGCTCGTTGTAAATGCAGGTGTTCTCAATTTTAGCAAGAATAAATGTGAAGTTAACTAAACCTTTTCCTAGAAGACATCTCTCTCATCGTGGAGCTTCTTGGGATACTAATCCACCACAAATGCTTAAGAATAAACAAACAGTAAGAGAAAAATTCAACTTTATGAGCTACAGCCTAAAGTTAATTCTCTGATATCTAACAGACGTGCTTGGATCAGAGCCCTCACCAACTGCAAAGGTAATGAAAGTACAAATGTACCTTCAGAATAGTTGGCATTCCCAGGCTACGAGACCTCTCACTGCTTGCAGAAAAACTATTCAGAGGTAATTTTAGCTTGTGTGCATGCTCACTTTACTTTTTTCTTGCAGGTCTGCATGGTCAGCTAGAGTACAATTGATATTAACATCTGGAAGGACCTGCAATCATTTAATCCGAGTCCTGTTAAAACAAACCAGACTAGTTCCTACTTCAAATTGTATAGCTGTAGTTGAACTGGACCATATCCCAAGATACGGTAGCTCAATTCTGCCTTTAGTTCCAATGTGGTAAATTATGAGACTGCTCGAGTAGCAACATCAGCACAAAAAATGGATTTGTCAGTAGGAGGGAGCAGCTCAAGGTGTATACACTAAAATGCAGTTAAAGGGTGAACAAACACAACAGCATCACAACAGCATCGCACGTGCACAGCAGCAACCTCCTCCTCTTCCCTTACAAAGACCACCAGTACCTTAATTCCCAGATGTCGTGGTTTAACCCCAGCGGGAAGCTCTGCCCCACGAAGCCGCTCACTCACTCCCTCCTGGTGGGATGGGGGAGACAATC